CCTCATTGCAGCGTTGCGGCGGAGAGGGCAATTGGTGTCTTTTATCATAACATCCAGATTGTTACTTGAAGCCTCTCCTCCACTCCTCCGGGAAGCCTCCGGGCCTCTCTCACGCGGAAGTGATCCGGCTCTTCTCTGTCCCAAGCGGACTCCTCGCCTGAGCCTCTGCACTGCTCTCTGCGGAAGCCCGCCCATCTCTCCGACAAGACTACCCCTGAGGACTCAGCCCACCCCACATTCCATGCGTCCGGCTCAGTGTGTGGCACGACCACATGAAGATGAAAGATGGCTAGATAAACAAAACCGAATGAATATCAAACACCAGCGGTGCCTCCTTTCCCAAAGCGGTGGGCACGCCTGATGGCGCAGAGGAGCCGCTCCAGGCCAGGCGGCCTCCACTGGGGGCGGCAGGGGTCCCTCCGGCAGCGACCTCCCTGTGCTGACCAGGCAATTTCAGGTGAACTCTTTAAATTTCACTCCTGGGGGAGACTGAAGCTATAATTAACCTCGATTTTAAGTCTCGGCTTGGTAATGTGAGCTTAACACAAGTGCCTCCATTTTGGGCCTGATAACTCTTTTTTTAACAGAGTGTGTGAGATTACTTAAATTTTCTGTATGGAATTTTCTTTCATTTTAAAGTGCACCATTTTTTTGAATTTAGATAATTAATTTTGAATTCTATTCCTGTCTTTGTATGTGTAATCATTCTTTATGAGAGCTGTAGATGTTAAGCATTATATTCAATTTTTTCATCTACTTCATCAATAAAGATAAGACTAGGCACCAAGATAAACTATACACCACCAGTGCCTGTACTGGACGCTGCATTAAGTTCATTCCATACAAATGCCAGCCTTTAAACCAATTACTCTTTTGCTTAGAGATGTTCTTGGGCCACAGAATTCTCCATCTGGGTGAGAGTCTGCTTTAAACTGGGATTTTAGTCTCTTGAGCTGGACTGAGGCTTGGAATGAATGAGCTAACCCACAGCTGAGGATAAGAAGGAAGGAGAAACCAAGTCTGATGAACCCCAGGCAGAGCAGACTGAGAAGCAATAGGTGGTCCAAAATGAAGCTCAAAAGTCATAGGCTAAATCATGCAGACCCGGGGGTGCAGCCTCCAGGCTCAGATTTCTTGATAAACTCTGTTTTTGTTGTCTTGTCTAAATAAAGATAGTTTGAATATACTCTTATTTTATAACCTTATGCCTTTTATTTTGACTCATGCATCCATATATCTAGTTCCTACTCAAAATCTGATCCAGAGACAAAAGCTTCAGGGGGAGGAAACATTTGCCAAGAGAAAAACCTGCAAGATCATCATTTATTTTATGTTTCTGTTAAAATAAAGTTGAATGATTGAAGCTAGAGACTTCTTTAAGAAACAAATAATTATGTGCTATCATTAGTCTTTTCCCCCCAAAATCACCACAGTCACTTGCTGGTGATTATAAAACAATGAAATTATATGTGTGATGTAACAATGTGACATTAATCAATGTGTAGAGAAGTCGCCGACTCAGATGGAGCGACTTGAGGACTGTAGTTTGCAGAGTAGAGCTGAGAGGGCTTGGTGGAGGGGTCCATGGACATGGAAGGGAGGGTGTACTGCTCCTTTCACAGCGTGTTTATGCTGCAGCACTGAATCTCTATATCACTTAGTGTAGTTCATTATTCTGATGACCAATATATGCCATTAAATATTTTGCACTTGGGATATTCTTTTGGGGATTTTGTGGCCTTGATACAAAAATGCACACGAAATAAATAAACATTGGCCCAAAGTATCAGAGGCAAAGTAAATACAACAAATCACACAAGCTTTGCCAGGGGAAGGTTACAACTAACCCCACAAGTCCTACCAATTACGGGTTCACTAGATGTTAGAACTCATCAAATGTGTGGCTTTAAGAACTAATACTCAGGGACATAAAATGAATTAAGTTTTATACTTGTTTCATGTCAGATCATTAAGAAAAAGCTGTTTACCTTCAAATTATTTTTATACCTTATAAAGCTGCTTCGCTGAGAGCTTGGCTGGCATTGATAAAGACATAAGAATAAACATGTGAATGACACTTGCTAGGAGGTTTATTATGAAGATTTTGGGTTCCTCAGGATTACAGTAAGCACTGTTAACTAAGTGTAAATATTGTCACACTTCATGTAAAATGTAATAATTTTATAACTGTATCATTCCATTTATACACTCTCTTCTTTGTACTATTATTTTTAAAAGTTGTACGTCTACAAATGTTATAATCTGTTAGGCAGTGTGTGTGTTGTGTGTGTTTAAATAACAGTTGTCTTTTAAAGTAATTAGGAGAATAAAAAAATGATAATTTTTTAAATGTTTACTCCCATCGTACCATTTTTAGTTCTCTTAATTCCTTCTGGTAGACTTGGATTATCATTTGATTTCATTCTTTTTCAGCCTAAAGAAATTTCTTTTTTTTTTAAAATTATCTTTATTGTTGAAAGCATTACAGTTATTTCCCTCGCCGCCCCCCCCCCACATTGGCCCCCTCTATCCCACTCCTGCCCCCCGCCCCTCAGGCCTTCACTGCACTGCTATCTGTGTCCATGGGTCATGCATTTCTGCATATAAATTCCCTGGTTAATCTCTGCATTCCCCACCCCTGCTTCCCTCTGAGATTCCCCAGTCTGTTCTATGTTTCTATGTCTCTGGGTTTATTTTGTTCATTAGATTCCACATATGAGTGAGATCATGTGATACTTCTCTTTCTCTATATTTTCATTCCCTCAATTCTCCTAAGACCCATAACAGGTTCAATGCAGTCACCACTTTGGGAGTCCTATTCAGAATCACCCCCAGGGCTGCTCCAGGTCCGCCAGGGGCCTGTTTCTTGTCCGTGATAGGTTGTAACGGAAATAGGTGACTTACGCTGGCCAACCCAACATTCTCTCTCCCCACATTTTGAATTGTTGTCCGATCACTAGGATTTATCAGCTTAAGCCACGAGGGTTGTCTAAGTCATGTAGGGTGGCCAGTTCGAGCTGTGGAAAGTGGAGAAATTGGGGAG